TAGAAGAAAAATAATAAAATAATAGAAATGATAAATGATGGATTGAGTGTGGTGTTCAATCCTTTTTAAAAAGATAGTTCCTACTCACAGTAAGTTGTTTTGCAACGATCCGGATTTCGCGCCAACAAAAAAATCAGCTGCTAATTGGAACGTCGCGTTGGCGGAGGTATCAGCGGGTCCACTTTGGCAATTCATGTCGAGAGACGTGGTTGTAGAAATCCTTCAACCTGATGATGAGCTAAAAGGCTCGAAATCCGGATCGTTGCAAAACAACTTACTGTGAGTAGGAACTATCTTTTTAAAAAGGATAGAATAAAATAATATGAAAATCATACACATCAATACAACCATGTAAACATTGCATAGTCAAATTCTAAAGATATCTAAAAAGATGGAAAATGTCAGTAAATTTAAAAGATAATGAAAGTTTAACGAACAAGATTAGCAGTGAATATAAATTAAATAAACATTTTTCGATTTATTAGGTTACCTTTAATAATTTACTAACGATGTTATAATAGTTCATATAAGATTTATTAATTGTTTTATTTTTCTTTATTGTTAAAAAAATTAAGCATTCCAGAAACGAAATAAATTTTACGTAAAAACCAACAGTTTATTTTTTTTTTTTTTGCTTAATCTCTCACTCTCTCTCCTCCTTCTCTCTCCTCTATCTCTCTTCTCTCACCTTCTCTTCTCTTATCTCTCTCCCCTCACTTCTCAATCTCTATCCTCTCATAATCCCTCTTCTCTCCCTCTCTCTCCCCTCTCTCTCTCTCTCTCTATCTATCTATTTATCTATCTATCTATCTATCTATCTATCTATATCTCTATCTCTCTCTGTTTCATTCTCCTCTCTTTCTTTGTTTTTTATCTCTCCTCTCTCTTCGTTCTAATCTATCTTTTTCTCTCTCTCTCTTTTTACTATGTGACAAAATACGATCCATCTACATTACGAAGGTCGTAAAAAATCTTTTTATTTGAATTAGTTAAATCCAAAATGTTAATAATAAAACAAAACCAAATGAAGCACCTTGAAGTAACAGACTTTTATATAAATTCTATAATATTTCAAGCCTTAAGTGCGTCGTTGATTTTATAATTCTTCACCGCTCAGTGAAGTTCCAAAAGGGTATTATGAAAAACAGGTATGTTAAGCAAAATTATCGTCATCACTTGATAAAGTATAAATTTCACCACACCTTTTACATACCCTCAGTACTCGGGCTTACTTTCTTTAAGATATTACCACCTATTTTGTTCGTACGATCAACGGCTATTTGCATAAATCTCCTTAATCGTGCGTCTTATTTGCAATATCCCAAAACGTCCTTTAGGAAACCAAATGATCCGTGACCATTTCGATAATAAATATCAATAGGATTGCGATATTTAATTAGAAGGGTGAAAGGATTCGGAGTCTTATTAGCATCCTATTGTTCATGTATTTTGTTAGCAATAGGTATATTTAACGTAGTATTAATACATTCTTTTCTATATACAGAAAACATGGCAAGTTGTTTCATAATAAAAAAAAGGAAACGGGTTACGATCTATTTTAAAATCAACCGAAGGAGAAAGTGATCTTGATCTTGAAAACCAGTTTCTGGGCCACGCTGTTCAGAACGTTGACTTACTGTAAAGCGTATTTCTCTCTATATTTTATATCACGCGTGAATGTCCCGTTATTCTTACAACATGGCGACTCGTATGCGCAAATAAAAAGGGCGACTATTACTTTAGAACGTTGCTAAATGTACTCGTTCACGAAGTCCGCGGAAAGGTCAGTTGATATGGCCAAGGGCGCATCACTTTCAACGGAAATACTTTTCTTACAACGTGAGGTAAGAAAAATGTCCATCTGTCCTTAAATCACGACCTGAGTACCTTGATCTTATCTCATTTTCGTACAGCAACATGATAAATATTAATCTAATAAATCATTCTTTTTACCAAAAAACAACTCTCTTATATATAACCGTTGTTATCAACGAGAAAAATCGCAATCAAACATAGGAAGAACATTACAAAAACTTAAATCTACCTTGTCAGTGTTTAAATAATTTTTTAGTTTTATAAATTACGACCTAACAAATCACTTTTATAACACAATTATTTATAGATACATCAAAGGTTTGTATTGTGTAATATGCGGTACATGAATAAATATTTTTGGTTTAAAACAATGTTTTCTTATATTTCGACCTCAACAGTTAATCTTATGATTCTTCCTTCTTGAAGGTTGGATAATNTATTTGTTCTGTGTACAGGCGTTAACTCACCTGAGGAAGGATTAAAATAAATCCGAAACGTTGTGGATAAAAACTGGTTGTGGTTTTTTGAGATGACCTATTATCCCACCTTCAAAAAGGAAGAATCATAAGTTTAAAACAATGTTTATGGAAAAAATTACTATTTAAAATATTTAGCGTATCATATGAAAGAAATATTGAATGTCCTTGGAAAATGCTAATTTATCATTTACTAAACGTCTACAAGTAATGTTTGATAATATAGTTTTGCTTTAAATTACATCTTTATGAGACATCAAAAGCTGTTAATTAAACGCAACGTTTCAATATAAACAGTCATTCATCAAGGTACTCCGTCAGGACAACCGTAGGTTGGTTATGTCCTAATAGCAGGCGAGAAATAGATAAGGCAATAGGGGAAGATAAATTAGGAGAAAGGCTCTTTTGTGGGAAGACTAACGGATCTTCGAAGCTTCGGGTGTTAAGTAATCTAGGCAGAGCTTTTAATAGCAAACGAGGTACCAGCTTTGCGCAAAGAAAGCCGCCGAAAATATTTATTTCAAATGTACACAGGGACAGTGCCTAGAAGACAGTCGTGTTATGCAAGGAGTGCATTCCCGATGAGGACGGCTCGTGAGTCAACGATTTGGCATTACGGAAAAAGAGACCTCCCGCAGACGATCGCCCACATTTCCATGTTGGCCAATAGTTTAAATGTGCGTGTTTTCTTTATCGCGGAAAACAATTGTATAATTAGCATATCGACGTTTCGTGTTTTATGTGACAATTTCGTTAATCTACGTACATATGACTTTACAACTGTAAATTACCTTTAAAACTAAACAAAGAATAAATATGAAGAAGAAAGACGTCAAATTGGGCCATTTTCAGTCGTAAGTTTGACTTTGTTTGTTGTTGTACACTTCCTTAACACTGAAGATTGCGAAATACGGTATCTTGACGGACCAATACAATACACTCGAGGACCAAAATGATCGGTAACCACCAAATTACAGGTCATCACCCCGCAGACCGCACGGTGAAATATCATAAAAACAGTCTTGTTTACGTTTAAAACGAAATCCTCTTCAGATTGAGACACTAGCGTAGATGACGTGCTGTCTTGTGCCTCATCTGCCGTGATACTGCGGCTGCTCCTTGAATTTTTGTTGGTGGCTCAGCGGCCTATGATTACGAGCTATCAGCGAAAAAATTTTTCCCTTCCTCTTGGATGCCATCACGGAGGAAAAATCTTTTAAAAGTTGACTCACTGAGTCAGCCCTTTAGGTTTGGTGACCATGCATTGGTGCCCTTTACCGTACAATCAATCTGTTTGTTTTTTCTTGATTCTTATTCTTTTTATTTATTTTCAATAAAAAAATTAAAAAATCGTAAAACATGGAAAAGCTTAATAAGTTTATTCAAATAAAAAAAAATCTGAATAACATCTATCAATAAAAATAATGAATACATAAAAATAATTTTAAAAATCGTAAAACGCAGTTGGAAAAGCGTAATAAGTTCATTCAAACCAAAACAAATCCGTTTGTTTTTTCTTTTCCCAGATTTTTATCTTATCGTTCCCAAGTGAGATCGAAAGAAAGAAAATGAGATTGAGGAAAGGGAGTTTAAAAAGTGTGAAATCATTACATAAGAAAGTGAATCCCCAAAATATTAAGTAAATAATAAATTCCTAATATCTAATAACTAAATAATTGAATTGTGTATTATACAGAAGCACAATACTAAAATAAGAGGGAGAAAGACAAGTAAGAGGTGCCGAAAATTTTACGGAATTGTTTGTTGAGTATCTATGTACTCAGCTCTAAATGGTGTGGATCGAAGTCACGATAGCTCAAGTGTAAGTGTAGCGACGTATCTGGCCGAAGGTCATGGGTTCGAATCCCGCTCGTGACACTGACTTTTTTTATCTCAACTAAAAACCTTAATTAATTGAAAGATATTAATTGGTCAAGCGGACCACGAAAACTAGTGAATTTTGTGTGGTGATTAGTGACCGTTAATCGATATTTATTTAGAAATCGAAAAATCAGAAAAAAGTGTGGGCACTCTCAACACGACACGCAAGAATGGCACAATTACACAGAAGACAAACACTTTAGCCCTGAAGATGATCTCAATAAAGATCGAAACGTTGGCACGATAAAGAAAATGTTTTTCTAAAACCTACATCACACCAGACCGCATCTCACGATTTCTAAATAAATAAAAAACTAGTGAATTTAATAAGTTAAAATGAAGTATATCTTCACTAAAGCTCTCCGTGGCCATTTCATTTGTCGCCGAGAATCAAATAGATTACACGACATTTGAAAAATGGCAAAAAGGAGGGAAATTCAAAAGATGGGGTTGAGATGGGAAGTTAGTGTCCGAGTGGATCGTCACGATAGCTCAAGTGGTAGAGTAGCGTAATATCTAGCCGAAGGTCGTGGGTTCGAATCCCGCTCGGGACACTTTTCTATCTCAACTAAAAACCTTAATTAATTGAAAGATATTAATTGGTCAAGCGGACCACGAAAACTAGTGAATCTAAAATCAATGCTAATATTTTTGTACATGTTTTAAATGTTCACCCTTAAAAAAGTTATTTTACAGACAAATGAAAGAAATCATTGCACAAATAAAATGTTGCAAGTGAGCAATTTCGCAATTGGGTACTTCGAGAACACACCTTGACCTTCCGCAATTTATCACCCCATAGAATTGGCTGGAGGGGCATGTCACATTTCATTTCAACTGTACTCCATGGCGGCAGTAAAATATCCAGCATTGCGTTGAGTTTATTTTTGCGAGGGAACGATCATATGTTTGCTTTCACGCTATTTTTGTTCAAGCTTTCAATTCTGCACTAGCAAAAGGAACAAAGATTAAGAAACATGGCTCAAAATCATTGGTCAAGCCCTGGGATATGAAATTGTTTTCCAAGCTTCCACTACCACTGAACGCTGCAGCAAGTACATCCGCATCTGGAGGTGAAAATTCTAATATGACGGTATTTATTTCAACATCAGTTTTTATTATAATTTTCTACCTTGGTCCCAGCTGAGTGGGAAGTTTTTTCCACTAAATAGCGAAGTAAATTATTACCTAGTCAAAAGTATATAGATGTAAGAAGGTTTCTTTGTGGTTCATATGTCCGTGTATATTCACAGTTTTACCATTGGGAGTTTTAAATTATTCAAAAATAAGACATTTGTTATGTTGGACAGAAAACAAAGTAGTGCTGGCTTTACTCGCAGGGAAAAGAACGTTAGACTGGGCCGCGTGCAGAGGACGGTTAGTTCTTGGCGCGGATCACCCAGGAATCATCAACCTCATAAACGGAAAAACGAAAAACGTCCCGACGAACGCAGTTGCCGAATTACAAAAAGCCATCTCGCGTATAACCGGCTATGAGAAAATAATATTTACAAAAACTGGTAGGTTAAGAAATAACTGTGAATAACGACAGTTTACTGTCTATTTTACCTGCAGGGTCGGAAGCGCAGGAATTGGCAATTCGATTAGTCGCCTCCTGGGGTGAACGAGAAGGAAAAGATAAAGAAAAAGGAATCGCACTTGTTACACCCTGCTCTCCATGGAGTCACGAGCGATTCCCTCTGGGCCCTATGAAAAAGAAAGCCCTCCCATTTGACAACCTGTCCGCCCTTGAGGTGCAATCGTGGATAACATCATACAGACAATTCTAATAACCGATCTTCTTTCAGGGCGAGCTATGGACGAACAACTCCGCCGTCGCTTTCATGATGAACACAATCCACTGGTCGGAAGACAAGGGTTTTCAAGTTCCTGGCACGAGGTACTTGACCGAGGTGAGAAGAGTGTGCGACAAGCACAACATTCTCTGGGTGACGGACGAATCCGCGAGCGCTTTCGGGAGGACGGGCTATCCTTTGGCATTCATGGCTGAGTCCTGCCGGCCGGACATCGTTGTCATTGGTGACACTCTCGGAGGAGGTATTTATCCGGTATGTCACCAATATGTACAATACAATAAAAAAACTCCTTTTGAAATCATTTTAATGACCGATGACTAAACAAAGTGCAGTTTAATGCTCTGTACTGTAAAATATTTCACATTTCATGCATATTAACATTACCAATTTTGTTATCTGATTAACAAAAAAATAGACAATCACGTTAAGATTACATTTAACATGACCTTACATCCAAAGATCTGAGGTGAAAGTACCTCACTAAATCGAAAGATGGGGGTCCACTCCAGACGATGATTCTTATTTTCTCGCACAGCCCACAGATGGCAGACAAAGTTAAAAACATCCAAAATATTAAAATTTAAAAAATGCTATCAGGTTTTTTTTTGGAAAATTCCATGGGATTTTATAAATAATTTCATTATTTATTATTTTTACAAAGGCTTTTCAGCTTTGATTGCAAGCTTAAAAGGCTATTTTTTACTTATTTCACTGCCCCCACCTAAAAGTAATATGTTAAATAAATAATATGTTTCTTTCTGAAATTCAAGCAGCAAAAACAAGAAGGCAAAAATTTCTGCCGGTGTTTCTACCAAATACAATGGATTTACTTGTAGTTTGTTTAGCATTTAATTCACAAGATCAGAAAACGTGTAATTGTCCGATTCTTTTGAATATCTGTCGTTGTACAAATATAATTATTTAAGTAGAGTCGTTAAGGACGGCATGTTGTTCCATTTTCGTTATTTTTGTTATTACTAATTGCTATCACAAGCCGTATCAGTCGCATAAAAATTCATTTTATAAATCAACTAACCCAAATCAACTAACTTTAACTTTACTTTCTATACACCTTTAATATAATTAAAGTTAACTTATGTACAACTCACTGATTTTGTTACCATATTGCGCCCAAATTTTTAAGGTTTGTACATAACTTCTATTTTGATTACGCTAAATATTGTTTATAGTACACTGTATTTTTTTTTTTAATACTGTAAGACAGATTCAATTTTTTTTGTATCTCATAACTGCTAAACCTACCCAAGTACTGAAAGAAACTAAATCAAATAATATACAGCATTTATAACGCAGTGTTTAACTTAGAATCATTTTTCTGGTAAGTTTTCCCTATCTATGTTATTATGATTACATGTTATCACCCATTTTAATACCCAAAAATATCCATACAATACTGTAAATATGAAAATAAAATATACCATAAAGAAAGTGTTAGTGAGTAATTCTATTGTTTACTGGCTTATGATAACATTGTTACACCTTTGATACCCAGAGGAATTCCCACGTGATATTAATAATCGCTAAGTCCATGAACTTCTATTATTATTTTTTTTTTTTTTTTTTTAACTGCTTGGGTTTATCTACTGTTTGTAGGAACAATTATGTGCCGTTCAAAATGTTTTTAGGAAAAGTATATTATATATAAAAAGTAAATATCACAAACAAACAAATACTAAAATAATGTGAAATTTTGTTTAGAGGTCAATGAGGTGATTTGTAGTTTGTTAGTTTCTACGTTTTGTCGGCTTAACTCTAAACCAGCTGCACATCAAGAAAAAGAATTTTACAACCAATCTGACCTTTCGCCACCGCCATCTTCAGTGGTTGATTTGTGCATTGCTCGGAGGGTATGTCCTATTTACAGATTCTAATGGAATTAAGGCGAATAGCCGACCAATGACGAAAAAACGGATGATCTGCGACGATTAAAGCTGAATGGCTTTTTTGCTAGAATTTCCAGGACGCCTCACATTTAGTTTGTTTTAGTTTTACTGTTATATTCTATGGCATGCCAAATATTAACATCCTGTCTGACTAGTCTTGCCGGGTGTGTAAGACGCTTTTCACCTTGTCACCCATCTTCAGTGGATGGGCTGTGCGTTTATCATATATTATCATCAGATCCATGTATGATGCAATGACCAACGCTTCTGACCGACAAAACTAGCGAAATAGGCATGGCTAGATGACTGGAGGCGCCTGAGCTATATAACAATGTTATATGCTAACCAATTCCTACCTTTCCGAATAAGAATTGAGCACATTCGTGTTTCAGACATCTGCCGTGTTGCTCTCAGACAGGGTGTTCTGCGGTAAGGAGGATAAGCCGGTGTTGAAGTTGCCCGATTCTTCTCTGTCGAACCACGCCGCTGCCGTAGGTCTTGAGGTGATAAAAGGATACGAAATGGAAGACCTGGCAGAGGCTGCAAGAATGAACGGGATCTGCCTTAAAACGGCAATCCAATGGGCGTTGGGACCGGAGGAGCTGACGTGCGTCACTGGGAAAGGACTATTAATGGCAATAAGGGTCCATGGCGGTAACTGATTTTTCAGATAATCAATCATCTTATCTTTTATTTATATAATTTGTAATTTTATTTGTATAATTTGTAAATTTTAATTGATTATGTGTAAATTTAAGATTAAGATCTTTCAATTAACTAAAGCGGGAGCTACCACTTGAGCTATCGTGACTTCCATCCACTCGGCCACTAACTTCCCATCTCAACCCCACGTTTTGAATTTCACGATAGCACAAGTGGTAGAGTGGCGGCGTATCCAGGCGAAGGTCGTGGGTTCGAATCCTGCTCGTGACATTTTATCTCAAATAAAAACCTTAATTAATTGAAAAATATTAATTGGTCGAGCGGACCACGAAAACTAGTGAATTTAGTAAGTTAAATAAAGTATATCTGCACTGAAAGCTCTCCGTGGCTATTTAATTTGTCGCCGAGAATCAAATAGATTACACGACATTTGAAAAATGGCAAAAAGGAGAGAAAATTCAAAAGATGGGGTTGGGATGGGAAGTTNTTATTTTTTTTATTATTAAATTTATGCTGACCTAAAAATTCTAACAAAGGAATTCTTCTTGTGATGGTTATTTGAAGATTATAGAAAATATTGTTGATTGTGGGCGAATCTGTGATATTTGAAATGTGAGTTAAACTGTCATATATAAAATTATTGATTTTTTAAAATATTTTTTTTTAAATAAACGGTACAATTTATAAAATTAATTGACTCCAAAATAATAATTACATACTTTGTAGTTTATTTAACAACAGAAAGAAATGTATACAAAACAAACTAAATTAACAGTATACAGCATGGTCTGGCGGAAATTCAAAGCTACATCACTACACCAACAAAAATATAAGAATGAAATATACAATTGAAAACTAAAAGGTAGAACACTTTTAAGAATACGTAAAGAAAATAAATTAATTCAAAACCAGACAAAAAAGTATTATTCATAATAGATTTCCTTAATTAGTTCAAAACTCTTTTGATTTCTTGGACAAATTACATTTTGAATTATTTATCATCAAATCATCGGGAAAAACTTGCGCTGAGACGATTCTTACATTACAGTCGTCAATCAGAATGAATTTGAGATGGGAATAACGAAATAAAAAATTTGACAAGTTTGAAAAATCATCATCCCAAAAAATCCAATTTAAGTCGACAAGTAGTTGAAAAACGACAGAATCGTTGTTATGGATAGAAATTAGATTCCATCCGTTCAGCATACAAAATTTCACAGTAATATTAAAATAATTTAACTTAATAGCAAACAACAGCCCCCAAACAAAAGCTTGGGGTTTTCTACAACAAATTCTATTCTAAAAACGCCATACAATCAAAAATTTCTAAAAACACAGCTAAGGCGTAGAACACAGCCCTTTCAAATCTGGATGTTATTTCAGCAGGAACACATAGAACTTATAATTAACAAAATACTTTTCATAAACGTTAAAATACTTACATTCTACGAATGTTTGTATTAAAATGAATACACATTTCTACTTTGTAGTTATACTACCCCAATAAAATGTATTCGGCAAAATTAAATATTTTGTCACATAGATTTTGTTACATCATGTATTCGTAATAAGTGTTGTTAATAAGACTAAGTATTTTATCATCAAGAAAGAATCAGACTTTCAGAGAAGGGTTAAAATTACAATCCAATATTATATTATTAATTGCCTATTTTATGAGGATACAACCAAATTAACCGCTATTAAGATAGGGAAATGTAAGTTTTTGAAGATAGGCGAAAAATTGAATTAAATTAAGTAACAATATAAGTAATAAAATTTTAAACTTTTCAATTGAATTAAAATATATTAGAAATTAAAATGCCTTGTGAGTGGCTACTCTGCGACAGGAATGACGCCAAATCTATACTGCCTCCTTATAAGGAACAGTGTTGATTTCTTTTCCGACGACATGTCCATGCTATTTCCTTGTCCAGGACGGTGTTGATTCCCTTCCGACACATCTTCCTCATTGGTTGTAGTGTGGGTTTTTCTCTTCGTCTAGTTTATAGGTCTTGTTTTATTGAATCCAAGACCGTCTCACTTTCATTGATGCAGTATATACCTACTCATTGGCAAAGCAAAGGAAGAGATATGGTAAATATGTGAACGCTGTCAAATGTTAGAATGGATCAAGGATAACAACGGACTTTTAAATGGCTGTATTCTGTATTACCTTTTGTATTTATTATTAATTTTTATAGAACAAAATAAGTATTTTATTTAAATTACGTTTTTTAAATGGTCAAGTCCTTTACTTTTAATACGTTTAAAAAATTGTTTCTTAATATGTTAGTATCGCAGGATTTTATGTCTGTCAATGAATTTTGTGAAAATGATTTTTAAACTTTAATGTTTTGTATATACAAAACATTTTGTGTGAATATTTGGGCACTGTAATACCAAAAGCTTGGGGTTTTCTACAACAAATTCTATTTTAAAAACGCCATACAATCAAAAATTTCTAAAAACCCAGCTAAGGCGTAGAACACAGAAAAATTAAACCTTATAGCCAAAGAAAAAAAACCTTATTCTTTATTCTGGGACAAACGGTCTCCTAAGAATAACAATAAGGTCACAGAACTTTTTACAAATCTGCCACTTGGATTAAGATAGACTTTTCGTTACCCTGTAGTGCAATAAGTTGAAATAAATCACCTAATACAATACATATATAAAAGATGGAAATAATAGTATTAACATTAACAATTTAGAGAAATAATCATAATAATAAAAGAATTGCGAACATAATCGCAAATTGTGACGTTGAAAGTTAAGAAAAAAGATAATAAATAACTTCCTTATGTAGCAAAACGACCTAATTAATTGTCGGACTATTTTGTCTCTGTTTGGAGGGAGATGCGAGGGATTTAAAAGAGGTAAGAGATGCGGCGTNTTTTTTAAATGGTCAAGTCCTTTACTTTTAATACGTTTAAAAAATTGTTTCTTAATATGTTAGTATCGCAGGATTTTATGTCTGTCAATGAATTTTGTGAAAATGATTTTTAAACTTTAATGTTTTGTATATATAAAACATTTTGTGTGAATATTTGGGCACTGTAATACCAAAAGCTTGGGGTTTTCTACAACAAATTCTATTTTAAAAACGCCATACAATCAAAAATTTCTAAAAACCCAGCTAAGGCGTAGAACACAGAAAAATTAAACCTTATAGCCAAAGAAAAAAAACCTTATTCTTTATTCTGGGACAAACGGTCTCCTAAGAATAACAATAAGGTCACAGAACTTTTTACAAATCTGCCACTTGGATTAAGATAGACTTTTCGTTACCCTGTAGTGCAATAAGTTGAAATAAATCACCTAATACAATACATATATAAAAGATGGAAATAATAGTATTAACATTAACAATTTAGAGAAATAATCATAATAATAAAAGAATTGCGAACATAATCGCAAATTGTGACGTTGAAAGTTAAGAAAAAAGATAATAAATAACTTCCTTATGTAGCAAAACGACCTAATTAATTGTCGGACTATTTTGTCTCTGTTTGGAGGGAGATGCGAGGGATTTAAAAGAGGTAAGAGATGCGGCGTAGCGGATTGGCAAAAGAAGATAATTCCAGACTTTTTGGCTCGAGCTAGGAAAGTCCGCTCAAATGTGGAGGTTTTATGACTAGGGAGATAATAGGTCATTGGGAAACGAGCGGGTGTTTCGGGAGCAGATAGAATATTTGAATTGAAGTGGCTGTAAAATATAATGAGATTGACGAGAGTTCATGGATTTGTAAAAAAAGGAGCCTAGAATTTACTTACTATGGAAGGAAGGATAAAGCCAGGATAGGTTTGAATACAGTACTCTGGACATTCAGGAAGTGCCGAAAGTAAATCTTACACAAAAATTCATCAGTCTTTTCAGACGCTTATCTTTTCCTCTGAAAGTCCAATATAAGCGACACAGCAGTCCAGTCCAAGAGGAGATCGATGAGGGATGAGAGAGGAATTTAAAAGTGGAAGTTAGAGCCAGGATTGACAGATTGGAATGAAGGATGCCACAGATCCTCAGAAAATTTGGGAAATGTGTGGTTTCCAGGTTAGGTTTTGGTCGAAGGTAACCCCCAACTTTTTAATCGTGGGGAAGGAAAGTTTGTTGATCGTGAAAGAAAGGTTAGAGGGGATGGATTCGAAAAAGAAGATAAAAACGAATAAAATTATAAATTAATTATATTTTATTTGTGTATCTAGTTCAAGTCAACAAACCTTTTTGCGTGTATAAAACTTGTATTTTAGGTACAATAAATAAGTTTTTTTTACACCAAATTTACCTTGTATTCCAAATCAACAGTTGAATTTTAACGCAACATTTAATTTAATTTTTATTTTTAGGAATCGGAAGTGTATAAATTAATTATATTTTATTTGTATATCTAATACAAATCAACAAACCCTTTCTGCATGTATAAAAGTTGTATTTTAGGTACAATAAATAAGTTTGCTTTTGTAAACCAAACTTAGCTTGTATTCTAAATCATCCGTTTAATTTTAACGCGACATTTAATTTAATTTTTAATTTTAGGAATCGGAAGTGCTTCTGAAATTTGCCTCGAGATGAGAAAAAGAGGGGTTTCTGTCTGGCCGTGTTCCGATCACTACATACTCATTACTCCACCGTTGACAACATCCCAAGAAGAACTCGTAGCCGGTGTCATCGTCCTGGCTGGCGTTTTGGACTGGCTTTTGGAAAGGACCGCTCGGAAACATTGCATAGGAAAATTTAAATTTGATTGAACTTAAAAATATTATATCTATATATAATATAATGCAAAAAATGTCCCTTGTTCAAATATATACTGGCCGTTGAGAAGATCAGCCTCTTTTTTCTTCTTAATTAGGTCTTTTCACTTCATCTCTGACCTCATTTACAAACAGCCTTGAGTCAAAGACAAAAAGAAATCACAAGTTATGAAAATCAGCGTTTTCCTCTCTCTATCGTTCTCTCTCACTCTCTCTTTCATGAAAGAACTACTATAAAGACAATAGGGGCTATCATGTCTCAATCGTGTCTTTTTCAATGGAATTTTTTCACCTCCAATGAATATCGCAGATCGATAAAAGCGGATAAGAATAAATTAAAATCAACAAAATTCCTAGAACCAAAAAAAGATAGTGTCTTAACATTTCGTACCTATTGCCAATCTGCTAAATGAAAGTAATGTTATATTGTTGCCGGTTCTTCAAAAACTTGATATTGATCATTTTCTAACATAAATCGCATAACATAAAGCGCAATTACTTTCAATTCTACGCAGTTAAGCATAATTATCGTTAAACCGTTAAACTTGGTTATATGCTTGGTTAACAGCAAGCAGATTAAATCCAAAGTTTAGCAGATAATGAAGACTGAAGGAATGAATTTTTTTTTTTTTTTTTGATATAAGCAATGTCTGTGGACTTTAAAATTGCCAAATCAGAAATTCCTGAACTCTGACCTGCATCGATTCTTTGTCTACATAAACCAATTTTAAAATTTTTCAGTTTCATTATTAATTTTGAAGATATTAAGGTCATGTTTACGTTTATTATTTTTAGATCCTGTATGTTAGCAATTGTAATATAGTAAAGTAGTAAATTATTAAAAAATCAATGAAAACTGCTGGTTTAATTTAAGTATCTTTCCTTCTTGTAGATACAAGATTCTTTTTAGGACCAAAAAAAAATAGAAAACCAGAAAAGGCTTAATATGTTAAATAAAAGATATTTTATCTAAACGTGAACCTGTTTTGAATGATTGACATGTTGTTATTTAGAAAAAACGATTTTTTTCGATTTGCAGTTTCAAATTGCTAGTCTTATGTCAGATTTATTGATTATTTTAACATTATACCAAACCACTTTAGTTTGTTGGTAAGAATTTGATTAAAATTAAAAAGATAAAAAACTAATTTAAAGAAATTATAATGAACAAATCTATAAGTATCTAGATTTATCTATAAGTAATAGATAAATATATTGCGTATATGTCATATATTTATAAATCCCAGGCCCCGAAGATCTCATTAAAAGATCGAAACGTTGACACGATAAAGAAAATGTTTTTCTAAACCTATGTCACACCAGACCGCATCTCACGATCTCCACATAATGATAAATATATTGTTAATATCAATGATATTTATAGTAATTATACTAATAAAATATCATTAATTCAAGAAAATTTTCCAATGTATTTCGAAAGTCTCTGTATCTAATGATCGTAATGTTCAAAATAAAATTGAACTTTGCAAAAATAACTAATTATCTTTTCAGTTGAGCATGGCCTAAGGGACCAGTTTCTTTTGGCTGACTTAGAATTTTTCATTTAAATTAACCTAAATATTTTTGTTGGACATCTTGGTAAAAACTTCATTTAGCAAATCTTTGTTGTCCAGTGCATCTGTGGAATTTACGAAAAATCCGATTTAAGGTTTTTCATTATTTGATGTCGTAGCCTGTAAGATTTTTAATGTTCAATATCTTTGCCATTAAATTGTTAAATTATTTGAAACATTTTTAACAAAAATTGGAAAAATGAAAACGTTATAATAATAAAAGATGGGTAGTATATTTTTTAAGTATTTTTTATCCTACCAACTCATCATGCCTCATATAATCTTTTTATGTTTTTGATCTTTTTTCGGGTTTTTTTTACGATGTATTTTCATAAATGACATATAAAGTTTGACGATCATAGAAGTCAATTTTTCTTTTAATATGGTTTTGTTTTCGGTGTTTGTTTTTACTTTTTGGACAAGTTGACTTATTGACTCTTTAGTAGTTGATCTTTTTTAATCTTATGGACAGAATTTTCTTCCATTTTATTCGATTTGTTTTTAGGTCGAAATTTTCATTTACGTAATAAAAATTGTTAGATTAGGTATTAGGTCAGAATAAAAACATCGGAATTATTTATAAAATGTCTATTTAGACAACATCAAAGGTATACAAAAATCACTGGTATAAAAAAATGGTAGCTTCAACATTACCGGTTCGATTCTTAAAAATTAGAATAGTAACCTCCAGCAGGTTGAGTTTTGGGCTTAGAAATGCCTGTACGCCGGTCCTGGGTTGTAATAAGCACCACCTCCTGGGGTAGCTCTGGCTTCGGCAACCTGGCAATCGCCAAAAGTTAATTTCAAGTCGGTCAAATTTGACAAAATTGAGAAACTTACCTGTTGAGCGACAGCTTTGACGATGTCGGGGTGGACGGACGGGCCAGAAGGCTGGTAACCGTTTTCGTCGGCGACGTAGCTGACCTGGACGGGTCCTGCAGGAGAGGCGTAAGAGTAAGATCCTTGGACGGTGACAGCGGGTCCTTCAGGTCCTGGCGCCCTAGGGGCCCCGACTTCATCTCTGGCAGATCCGTCTCCAGATCGATAACTGTCATGCAAAAAAAAATAAAATACACAATATTAATAAAAAACAATATTCTACAGTATTTTATTACAGAAAATAATGACGTCAAATCGTCTACGTTTCTTTTCTATTTAGTGAAAATTTTATTACAATCCGAGTTTATTTATATTTTTTTAAGTACCTTAATGGTTCTAAGAATCAAATTTCAAGCCAAATAAAGTACAGGTTTAAATATTGGAAGTGTAAGTAAAATGAACGGTTATAATAATTTAACTACTTCAGTACAAATATTTCATGCTCATAAATGTTTAATGTTAAGACAACATTAAAGTATGTAATCTACAGGTAGATTTCAAGAATGGCCCAACAACAACGAAGGTTTATGATGTGCACATCAAGGGACACAAATTTTAATAAAAAGAAAAACTTTTGTATCCCTCATTTTGTAAAATATAAGACATTATTTACATGCTTTTAAGTAAAAATAGTGCCATACATTTGGTGCGTACGTTATATTTCTAACAAGTTATGTTAATATTTTATATATATTACGAGGGTTCGCAACAGCAGAGACCATATAAACGCTCAGGGTCCGGTGTTTTTGAAAAAAAGCCCATTTGTAAGTATGTCGGGTTCGAATGCAGGGCCGCTGGATTCGAACCCGGGACCTTTACCTTACAGTGATGAGCGCCGTGTCAACGACGAAACCTTGCGGCTACCGCCCCCTACTAATAATAATTATTCAATTTTGATAATGCATAACGTCGATTTTCTTCCTCCCCAGTCACAAAATAAACTAAAAGCAAGACAATATCCAATATTACTATCCAAATCCAACGTTCACTATCATTATTCGTTGTTTTTTTTTTTATATATAACGAATTAATTTTGTACATGTGTTAACAATTTTATAATGTAAGATTAATAATAATGGAAAATTGCGAACATCTCCAAAAATAGAAATGTTTGAACATGCATTACTCAAAATCACATGAAATCACTATTTACAAAAACTTTTGCATATTAATACTATGGTAGATAGTAAAGCATGAATTAATAAATTTATTGAATTGACTCACCCTTACAGTTACACATAAATATAAAATGTGTAAATCAAATTATTCATATATCGGTGTAATAAGTAGTTTTCTATGTTACATTTTTGTGATATAAATATATATTAATGTAAATTAATTCGACATGATTCTCATGTTCTTCATTAATATTACTGCATTAAATATTCATCTTTTTCTGAAACGAATACAGTTTATTTTAACGCATTTTCTAATGATTACCCGGCAAAGGATGCGCCAAACTGGTACATCACGAAAGTCCGTGAACGCCCATCTTACGAAATAATCCAAAACAGGTTTAGTTGGCTATAACTATCTCGTCTTGTCGACGTGGAATTGATCATGAATGTTTTGACATCTCGACAACTTAAACATTTCGTGTTTAAAACTAAGCTGAGTATACACATGAAGTTTTTTGACTAATGCACATTGTAAGACATAAGATTGGCATCGTTTCTCTCGTTTTGCCTCATTTATCATAAATAATTATCACGTATCAACGGTATTCCTATCAATTTGGATTTGATTAACGAGACGGAAAGGGAAAAATATGACGGATTGGGCATTGCAAAATAACGCTTGGAAGGTCGTACATCCAGTTGTGTAAAAGCTAACAATGAAAATTCAACGTAACGGAAGATGTTCGTGTACATGACCCATGAAGGTGCGGTTCATCCTTCTATTCTCTTCAAAATATCCATTCACTCAACAATAATAAAAAGAAAACCATTTAACCATTAGAGACCAGAAGTCCTAACGATGTCCCTTTTGTGCTTGAAGGAGCTGAAGCAACACAAAGATTTTCGTTCTTAGCTCGCACACTCAAATCAGATCATCCTTAAAACATTTTTTAGAATATTTTTTTTAATGAACTGTGTAAAATTGGAATGTCAAGAGGAAAGTTGCTGCTTTTTTTAATCAACAGTAGTGTGCTAAGACAACCGCAATAATTAAGAGAAAAAATCTAAGAGGCTCACTGAATGACTTTAGTAATTTTGGCATTCTTAATGATCCACTTTCATCACGGAGAGAGTTGTACATTTTGAGTTGAACATCAGAAACTTACTTTTTTTAAAAATAAAATTGCAATACACCAACTTACGCAAAGTTGTAGGATTGGTCTGGGTTGAGAACGTAGTGCTGGCTTACGATGGGTACGAAAGAGTGTGCTCCGGGGTAGAAAGGGGCACCACCGAATTGTGGAGCTCCATGGGCTACCACGACCAAAGCGACAGCGAGAAAAGCCTGAAATAAAAAATAATCCTTATTCGTTGCTATAAACATAGAACTTTAATCAAGCTTAAAACCACATTAAACAAATTTCCTAGGAAAATATTACACTTTGAACATGGATTGGGCTGGAACCATAGAGGATAAGGTAAAATCAATATGTATCTATAATATACTAAATATAACAAGTAAGAATATTACAGTGAGGGAGTTGCAAAAACCTCATCAAACTGCTCATATCAAAGAATGTTTTTGCCTTGACTAGAAAAAATTTACGTATTCACTGGGTAGATATATACATATATCCACTTGAAATTACCTACAAAAACTTTGTTTAAAATTCTTTTTCTAAATATTTTTCAAAAAAATATAAAATATTCTACAAAACTTAGTTTAAATTGACTTTATCAAACAGATCTAATAAATTTTTATAAAAAATAATATATAAATTATCAAATCATACCTACAAAGGTCTGTAACAATCTCTTATATTATTACTTTTTAAATGTATGAGCAGATATAAAAATATGAATTCCATATATCTCCTAATTTTAATAAGCATTGCATAACGTATAGTTTTGCACAATAACATAAAACGTATTCTGAGCCAAAAAGGATATCACTCTAAGCGTACGAATTAAATATAAGTTAAATTTACTGCTCATGTAAAAATTAATTTAAAACGATTTGGATTTTTTTCTTTAAGGAAAATTTTTGCAATTTACGATGTAATATTAAGCATTATTTCAAAACTATTATTTTTTATTTCATGTTACTCATTATATAAAAATCGACATAATAAACACTTAAGAACAAGAAAGGTACCTGAAAAACTATAATGACCTGTAACATTTTATAAATTCCTGCAAAATACAAAATAGACTGAAATGTACCAAAAGACTAATTTTAAATTAGCATACATCTTCTTTGATCATGAATAAATGTTCTTACATTAGTTTTAAAAAATAAAAAGACAATTGAATCGTTTTGTTATAAATAATAAATATAAATATTCTATCAATATAAAAAACTCTGGCACAGGTTTAACACAATCTTAATTTTTGTTTTAAAAGTTGAACAATAATTAATTTAGACATTATAAATTCTTTACAGAAGCTTGACTACCGAAATTGTACTTTTGTGGATGCTTTTATAATATTTGTTAATATTGGTAGGTTTATTGTGATCTACCTTTAATAATAAATATAACCAACTTTTTTATAAATTGCAATAATGTAAGATTGTATTAGTAAATCCATGTGAAATGATAAATTTAAACGCAAATAGAAAAATCAAATTGTAGAATATACTTAATATTTAAACGATATATCTATCTAAATGCAAAAAGTTTAACTAATAATAAATATTGCTCTTCTTGTAAGATAATAAAGTTTAATATAAAAACCGATTGTTCGCACATTACACACTTGTTGTTGCATAACCAAAGGCACTCACTAGATCCGGCACAGTTTAAAATTTATAAATAAATGTAAGAATAAAAGCCAGAAACCTTGTATGAGAAGTACATTGTTGTGGTTGTTGTTGTTGTCTTAGGTTTGACTGATGCTGGATGAATACTCCAGTTCTCTTTTATAGGCGGGCGGCTTAACGGTAGGGGAAGGAGCCGTCAAGGACGTCCGAGGGTGGAAACCAGGACCTTCTGGGGGTGGATCCTTCCTTCTTTCATCCTTCCAATCCTTCTTACCCCATTTCTTGGCCGGTGATTGTACGGTAATGTTCGCAACATTCGGCACTTATCAATCGTGGTTCATGTGCCATTCTTTTTTGCATTCCGTTTGTTCTGTCCGTGTGTATGTGTATGCTGTAGCAAGTTGGATTTTATAACTTTTTAACTATATAATAACTGAAAGATTTTACGACCAACATAGTGTTTTATAGGCATAAAAATTTATATATCTTTTATATGTTTATAGTTTTAGCAAACAAAAGAAAATTAATTTTAATAGGAAAACACAAGTTCTATTTTGCTTTTATCGCGCATATAAAATGTATATTTATTAAATGCCTTAATTTAACATATTTTTATACACATTTTTCTTGCATTTACAATCACCTAAAAATTGTTAAAACACACAGAATTTACTGAAAAATTTCTTACATTACATATTATGACTATGTTTTAAATAATGTTTTCATAATTCTTCATGTATCAGATGTACCAAATATACACAATTTTTATATTCTGTTTATCATTTATTTTGACAGTCTGACAAACAAATGAAATTTATATGCCAAAATACCAATTATTTTGTTTTTGTGTCTGCCCTGCAGCTAATTTTGTTTTATTATATGCATCAAATACATTTTTTAGAACCACTTTAATCCACTCAACTCTCTTTTATTTGCTTTAAAAATTTATATATAATGTTTATATTTTTATATTTAAACTATTTAAAAAAAATCTTTTGAGGACAACAAACTTCTATTCCACTTTTTTACTTGTACTTTAACTTCTACGTTTCTATAAACTATATATATATATATCCACATTCACAGGGCTGTCAAACAACTTAAATTTTTACATTAAAAATTATATTTCGGAAATACGTAATAAGTAGTATGATGCAATCCGGATCAACCTATTCGACAAAGAAGAAAGAAAAGAAATATTTTTGAGCAAACATAAGTAGTTGAACGCTAATTATAAATTTCAAAAAAGAAAATGTTGAAATAATTCCAAAATGTAACCTTTCTTTGCTGTTCAAAGATTTGTATGCTCTTTATTTTTAATAAACAATTTCCAATAACGAAAAAGAAAATCAGTGCACAAAGCAACAGAAAATTATTACTTATAACAACAAATATATTTTTATATTTCGTACTTCTATAAATTGAAATTTTGCTTGAGGACTGTGAAATAGCATAAATTGTGATATTAAAATAATATTTCAGAAGCACACCTGAATTATGGTAAGCGCCTTCTTGGAGTAAAGAAGAAATTTTATTGAGCAAAAATAAGTGGGTCGAATTTTACGAAACTTATAAATTACAAAATAAAACAATACACAACGACAATTTTTTTACATTACAGTGGATAATTATTTTGAAGAGAATTTGCCATCTCTGTGCACTTTAAAAGTTACTTTCTTTATTTCATTTTATTTGCTTTAAAAATCAATGTCTCCTTTCAAGGAAAATCAAAGCAATATTATTCAATTAACAAATAAAAATAGCAAATACAACTTAACTTTATAACGTTTTTATATATTTCGCATACCTACCAACTATACAAATAAACTAAATAGCTTAGATTTGAGGTCTTAAATATAACAACCTGATCAAACTTCATGCGCAAACAAAAAAATTGGTTGAAAATGTATTATTAAAATTTTATAATACTTATAAATTACCATTAAAAAACACTTGTAACAATACATAAATGATTTTGGAATAACACAGAAATTGGCAATTATTTAAAATTTTACTTCTTCTAAATAATTAAACGACATTTAGAGCACAAATCAAAACAAGCCAAATCCTTTCAATTGACAAGTCGAACGATTTTCAATCAAATTTGGTTTAATTGTAGACAAAAACATTTTACATCAAAAAAATTCTAAACTAAAAAGTTCTGTTGAAAATGACTGTTGACTTTCGTGTGGCATTAATGAGGGGTTTTCTTTTTGAGAAATCCTGTTGAGAATGTTCTATGTAGAAAATGTACAACTTCAATACCAAAATAACAAAAAAATTAACTTTTGTTCGGGGGAACCGCGGTGGCCGAGTAGTCAGGGCGTCCGACTCGCATTGCCATTCTAGCGGTCCTGGGTTCGAATCCCTGCAAATCCTCATAGTGTTTTAATTGATAATGACTCCTCATCCGCGATACTGTGACTGGTAGTTGGACGATAAGGCTATATGACTGGATTTACTTACTTATATTTGTTCAGTCTTTTTAAAAAATATATCTAGACCAATAAAAATTAAACAGAGAAATCGTCAAACAACATTGTCTTATTCTGCACTTTTTCGCAGAGGATCTTCGCCTTGGGAATATCGTATGTGTAACCTTTATTGTTATTCCTTTTTACCTGTTTGTTTATAACGATAATAATATAAAGAAAAGTCAAACACTACCACCTGTAGCGTACTGTTGACTTTTGTGTAGCATTAATGAGTGGTTTTCTATTTGAGTAATCCTGTTGAGAATATTTTTATATTCTTTATAGAAAATTTTAATATATTCTCTGCTTGGAGAATAATTACTCGGGATTAGATTAATTTCAGGGTGACCATTACCCACGTATATATGACCAGGTGAGCAGTGATCGTGCGATGTGTTATTTAAAAGCTCAGGTAGAAGAATACAGATACTTTGAACTTCTAGTTTTCAATGGTATACTAATAAATATAGTTCTTCAGCCAAGTTGCCTTAAATGTAAGTCTGAGAGCAGACTCTATTTTCGTCACGAGGTGCAAAATTCCAATGAGATGACCTGAGCCGTCAAGGCGCGATACCGAAACAGTGCAAGTGAATGTGATTCTCGTGATATTCCATGGTGGTCGGGTATGAATTATTGCGCTTTATGAAACCTTTGGCGGCACGAGTGCCAAAACTCGGTTCGGACGGATTTCATTATACGAGAAACTCGGTTTGACTTGTTGAAAAAACCAACCGTTAAGTGACCATCCTTTGAAAAGTTGCGACATTTTGTGCGGAAACGATGTTGAATAGTCTTGATAGAAATAGAAACAAGGTAGATTTCTACAATGCCACATGTCATTACTTGGGAGATATATTTAAATTAAGCATTGTTTTTCCCTTTACAATCTGCAGCTCGGTTCACCATTGTCATTGATAATAAATCAACACTAACGAGCACCGCACGTTCTGCATAATACTCTATATTTTAATAAATTTACAACCTAAACGTTTCATTGTTGACCAACATTGCCCCCAAAACATCTTGATTCAATTTGAATCAATTTGTCTCGTATTCAAAAACAGAGATATTCGTAAAAAATGTAAAAACGCAAATTTTGATTATTGTATTCTCTAAAATAAAAAACATTTCCGCAGTGAACAAATAAAAAAAATTATCTTCTATTCTACAATAATATTCTCATTTGCCCTAAACACTCCTTTTATATAAATCTGAATCATTACTTAGTTAAGTAATAATTTAAAAAAATAAACAATAAAGTTATAAACATGGAAGGTTGTATATTATTAAACTTGGAAGCATAATTAATAATTAATTAAATACGCCCGCCAAGCTTGGAATTTCATAAAACAGTTGGAAATTCAATTTTTAGGTTTAGATTCAATTTAGCCACCTATTTTTTTAAGTTTTTCTCTAGATTCTCATTTATTTGTTAAACAATTTTAATGTTTTACGTCACTCTTTGTAGCCATTCTTGTATTCCTGTTGTTTATTTAGCTTTCAAAACAATCACTTGATTAGTAAAGTTTCTAAACATTCTCTCTGTTAATATACAATTTTAATTTTTTTTAATATTTTTATTTTAAAGCCTTTTCTTTAATGTTTTTTTTAATATTCAGATCAGATGCACAACGTTTCGGCATCCTGTGCCATCGTCAAGTGCAATGTTTTATTTCTTTTTTATTAAAAACTGCACAATTAAAAAATTTAAAATACTTATACAACGAAAAAACAGGCTGCCATGTTGGTAATTTGAAGGTTTTGATAAACTTAAGAATGGCACAGGATTCCATACAACAATTAAAAAACACCTACAAAAAAAGCCTAAATGGAAAATTTAAACAATCCATAAAAATGGAAAAAGAACAACAACAAAAACGAAGAAAGAAAGAATATTCCAAAATTTTTCTATGTCATGATTTGTAGATTATCCCTCTCATATTCTTCTTCTGAGTTTTAATGGCGAAAAGTAAGCGTGTTTAGCTTTTTTACACAGTTATGTTTATGTTGGTATATCATAGTTTTTATTACTTTGGTTTGGGTTTGTGTGAATTATTTCTTGAATCCACACCTCTAATCCACGTGACTATTATTGAATAAAGCCTGGTCGATCGCATAGAACATACAATTTGACTCCATACCCTCATAAATCGGTGGAAAAATCATACTTTTTTGTTCGCTTCAGCATCGTGGACGTTGTCTTAGTTTTGGTATAAGATGTACCATGTATCCAATCAATTAATTAAGGTTTTTAGTTGAGATAAAAAAGTCAGTGTCGTGAGCGGGGTTCGAACACACGACCTTCGGCTAAATACGCCACTGCTCTACCGCTTGAGCTATCGTGACTTCGATCCACTCGGACACTAACTTCCCATCTCAACCCCACCTGTTGAATTTTCCCTCCGTTTTGCCATTTTTCAAGGCGTATCTAGCCGATGGTCGTGGGTTCGAATCCCGCTCGTGATACTGACTTTTTTATCTCAACTAAAAACTTTAATTAATTGAAAGATACTAATTGGTCAAGAGGAGCACGAAAACTAGTGAATGCATGTATCCAACTATAGGTTTCTACCTATACAGGAAGTACCTTACAGTTTTATTGATGACACTACACCCTCCAACCCCGCCCCTAAAACAGCTCTAATTTTGGGAAAGTTGCAATTTTCATATTTTTCCATTTACTTGCTAAATTAAAA